GTCTAAGGATGAGGGCTTAAGGGCTGGGGGCGAGCAAGAAACGATTGAGAGCTAGCCGGCGTTTCATGGCCGAATGCGCGGCGTAGAATGGTACAGTACTACTTAGGAGGGGACCTAGGCTCTAGTGCTCTCGCAAGACGAGCCTAACAATGGCGTGTCTTGCAGAAGTCTGCTGAAAGAGCTGAAGGCAAACAGGGCCGAACTGCCTTGTAGCGAAGTGACTACCATATATATCTTCAGGATCAGCTACACATTGGATGATCATCAATATCGTCTCATTTTCCACGTCAGCTTCATAACATACCACGATCATTTGCAGCATTGCGGTGCCTTGTGGTCAAGCTCCACCCACACGCCGTGAAGCGCATCGTCGCTGACTTGGTCCTGCGGGGCAACAAGGAGTTGCATGGGCGGGGAAGGCATTGTATTACTTCGTGGGTGCCGTCAGCCGGAAGGGATGTTGCATTGCGGATTCTCGAGGTTCTGCGACAAAAGCACTAAGCTCGGGTAGTTTAGGTATCTTACTAAACGATCGTTTTGAGATTTAGGGCTTTGAGGGATCCAGAATTCGTACTGCTGTATTTGGGGGGCGTGGGGTCAGGGTGTAGGGATTAGTTGTGTAGGGGGAGGAGCGTTTGCTTCGCCAGTTCTGGTTCGAGCCTTTAACGATTAAGGTTCTGTGCAAGTGTCAGACTCGCTAGCTTCAATATCCGTTTGGACACCATACAGAGCCTAAGCCTTTAACCCATTGAGCGGTAAAGCTGTCGATCCACCAAATGTGGCATGAAGATCTAGAGTGGTGGAGCTTATGATTATTGCGCATGCAGCAACTCTTCAGTATCATCGGCAACCGAATATGCGACTGCCCAGATCTGCTCCCACACACAGAACAAAACACATGGCTGAACTGCCTGTCCTACAGTACGGCTAATGCTGTAAATCCTGCATTACGCTAATGCCCCTCGACTATGGGAATTATTGACCCTAAACCCTAAACCCTAAACCCTAATTGTATAGTAGATTCCATAGTATGGGTAATGACGTTTGTTTATCATCAGCCGTAGCTCCTTAAGCCCGGAACCCTAAAGGTCGAAACCCTAAAACCCGAAAATTGGTTTTGGGCATAATTAGGGTTTAGGGATACCTAAACCCCATAGGCCCCTTATCGAACGCCATACTTAGATACGAACCGATGGCAGCAGCGTTTTTTATGTCCGCCGAAAGGCAAAGCAGCAGATGGGGCCTCTCAAATCTTCTGAAACCATGCGCGCAAACCTAGCGAAGTGAGTACGAACAAAAGGGCCTTGACTATTGTAATAGGGCTCCTGTGGAGGCTTCTTAAAAGCGGGTCTATAAGTCCATAAGGGTCTAGTATAAGGGCCTTTATCGTCACAAGGTTTGTTTGGGTAAAGTAGAGTATGGTTGCAAGGGAACAACAAGGTGTTTGTATCTGCAACTGGTCGATCTGCTACTGTAGCGCTTTTATCTGGGGTTTCAAGCAAGGGTGTTAGGGTTTAGGGTTTCGGGGCTTTTGGTGGGTTTTTGGGGCTTGGGGTGCAGAGTTTAGGGTCCCATATACGGGCAATATCGCTGCAACCATGAGAACCGTGGCATTTCACAGAGTTCCGGGTCTGTTTACTATGAGCTTCAGGGCCTCTGATCTGCAGGCTCGCGTTGATATGCAAACAAAATACTAGCTAGCATAAGTATACTGCATTATACCAAAGTGCATCTGTTCGAGTTGCGAAGGCCTCTATGTTGTCCTTTGGGCTTGGGCTGCAACCCTTCAGTGAGAGCTGAGAAGCCCCAACATGCTCTGACTCTAGTCTTTTTGCATCGAAACTCGGCCGTCTCTCGCCGGTTCGACTGCGACGTCTGCAGGCCACCATCGCTGATCTTATGTTTTAGACGTAGGCCGTATGCCTTCACGAAAGCAGTTCCTTGTCGCATTGCTCGAAAAGAGGCCCAGGAAGCAGATTCAGAATATTCAAAAGAGGCTACTGGAATTCCCTGTCTTGCTACTCTTCTATTTACTAGCAGGACCCTGCTTTATGCGAACATTGTATAAAAAAGGGATCCTATGAACAACGAATGAGGTAGGTTTCTTAAAAGGTGTTCTGACCTTGTGAATATTCACCTGTCAACCGACTCTCTTCTTCCAAAGCTCCACAGGTTGCGGGACCATCATAACTTAGAAGCTGCCCCCACCCTGTAATAGTGACTATAAGGATTATATAGGATTATATTAGGGCCCTATTATATTCCTAGTATACCACTATTACAGGGTGGGGGCAGCTTCTAAATCATAACCTTGAAGCTTAAATACGGATTAGGGTCAGTGCATAGGGAACCCCAAACCTGCACTTTGCGGGGGCATGATACAAAACCCGGGTATAACCTCAGCAGGCAACCTTCAACAGGTAAGGCTAAGCTTGAGGCGTTGGGGGTATCTGAGAACTATGTTAACAAAACACTATGTTCAAGAATCCCTCGGCATTTTATTTATTGTTCCCTACGAATGAAAAATACTTGCCTGGAACACTATGGTAGAAGATATGGTGTATTGGTTCAAGAGTCCAAGGTTCCTCAGTGTCAAAACAGTGCACTTTCCGGACTGGGACGATTCGGGTACGGGTAAGCATCGCATGTGCAACCCCAGAATTAACGGACCTAGTTAAGGTTTGAGGGCATTTCAGAGTTTAGGATTGACGTGATTGTTTCGGTGGTTGGGATTCAGGAGAATCTGGAATACCAATAAGATGGCTCCATGATGGGGTCCCTCTTTGGGCTCGGAGCACGAGTAAAGGGAGCTAGATAGCTCCTCCGCTGCAAACCTGGTATTCTGTGACATTCCTTTGTTGAAGACCTGGTGTTCTGTGACATTCCTTTGCTGAAAACCCGGTATTCTGTGACATTCCATTGTCGAAAACTCGGCATTCCGTGATATTCCATGGTGATCTGTGATATTCCTTTAGTGAAATCCCGGTCTCCTCTGATACTCTGGCCCTGGGGCTTGCCCGGAACCTAGGAAAAATCTAGCTTTTTCTAGCTTTATCTAGCTTTCGCTAGCCTCTTCTAGCTTTTTCTAGCTTTCGCTAGCCTTTTCTAGCTTGTTCTAGCTTTGTCTAGCTTTTGGTAGCCTTGCCTAGAAGAGCGGATTCCGATCGTACGAAAATATTAGCAGTTCGGGGTCTGAGCCAAAGAACCTCCTGAAACAAATGCATTTAGGCGCTATGGCCGACGGATCGGCAGTGGATTGCCGGCACAAACAGAAGTCAAAGCCCGCCTCCGACTGCTAGGAATAAATAACACCCACCTGTAGTTTCCTGCTGTGTCTTCACTTGTTACAGGCCCTTCAAGGGCACACTGTACCACAGGAAATCCGTAGCTTCCCAGCCCAGGACAAACTTCAATACAGGAAACCCGTAGCTTATCTTAGTTTCCCTTAGCTTCTCTTAGCTTCTCTTAGCTTATCGTAGGTTTTGCTTAGTTTCTTGCAGATTCCTGCGAAAAGCTGTGGAAAGCTAGATATTTCCGCTTAATCAAAGAGGCGCCCAATCATTGAGCCATCTTACCGGTTTTAATGAGAGATGCGCCGCGGTTCGAAGCGCCTCAGAATTACATCCCGAAATAAGCCCGCTTATCGCGCACGTCATAGAAACTTGTAGTATTTTCTAGATTTCTCTCTCTCTCTCTCTCTCTCTCTCTCTCTATATATATATATATTGCTCACAATGAACGGATTTACTGTTATCATGACAATACACAGGAAGCTTAAATAGTAGGCATACCAATAACGTCTCAGTATCTCGAGGCCTGGAACTGCCGAGCGTCTTCGCATGCAATGCCTAAAAGCCCAGCAGTGTCTGCAGGAGGTCTCTGAGTTTCGGATTCTGCAAGCTTTATGTAAGCAGGGCCCTATGTAAATCTCTGTAATCACATTAGAAGCCTGAGCGATTTGGCCAGGGTTTTCGGGTTTCAATACATACGTCCGATCGTACATACATACAGACATAGGTATATGGATACTTACATACATACATACGTAGGTACAGACATATGTACATACATGCATGCATACATGCATACATACGTCAAAAGCAGAAGGAGTGTTTGCAGTTTTGTGAAGGTGGATGCCTTAGGCACGGCAAGGTTTCAAGATTGAAAAAACATGAGGAACTGCACAGCCCGTTGCAAAGGCAACTTATGAAACCCAAATAACTCCCATATAAAAGCTGACGAAGCCAAGGACGAACACATCTAGAAAGATATATATATATATATATATATATATATATATCAGATAATTCATCTTCTTCAGGGTCCTATTGATACACCTACACAGTTCAAGGGATCTGTCCATCCGCTTCGTATGCACTGGGCCTTCAGGGAAAGAAAACCTTCACACTCGGCCGCATCCTGGTGATCTTCCCCACGGGGGAGCCCTGTCGAGTCGTCTACACGCTTAGGGTGTTAGGGGTTTGGGGGCTGAGGGGTTAGGGGTTTAGGGTTAGAAGTCTGGGGTTGAGGGGTCTAGGGTTTAGGTGTTTAGGGTTTGGGGTTTAGAATTGAAAAGTTTATGATATAGGGGCTTTGGGGCTCAGAGGTTAGACTTAATTAGGGCTTCAGAGTAGTTCAAGCTCAGCTGTGCTTTGTTGTTGGTACTTTCGGGGGTGAGTCACGGGAATTGCACAACGGTGTCTTGATGCCCAACATCCCCAGAATCGCTTGGCGTTTACTCGGGGCATTCTCAGGTCCCTTTAAGCACTTTAGGGCTTAGGCGTAGGTAATGGGTCCGGGACTGACCTGCTGTCTCTGCCCTGTGCAATCAGTGCTTGTAGTTGCTGCCAAATCGAGATAGAGGACTTCTCTGGAAGGGTGATGGTTTAGAGCTTGAAAGCAAAGGTCGCAACCAGACAGCAGACCCTCCTGGCCCCTTTGACCGGAAGCTACAGACATGCCGGCATCGACACCCCTGTGACCGAACCCGACCTTCTTCATCAGCTCTTCTTCTTTGTGGCCTTCTCCTCTTTCATCTCGTCCTTCCATGAGATGCATGTCATGTAAAGGCCTTCACAGTTTGACTGTCGCTTCGGAAGAGACTACACTATAACTATCTCGTCCTTCCTTAAGATGCATGGCATAATATGTAGGGGCCTTCTTACTTCGACTGGGGCTTTGGAACACAGTATGCTACATACTACAGACGTTAGAGCTCCGGGTTGAGAGTCCCGCTTGCTTTCGCGCGTGTCGGAAGTCAGAAGGTGATTGGAGATGATTGAAATCTCGAATCGAATCCTGTGTATCTGGCTTATAAGATTCAGATATGGAGGTCCAAGTTCTGCTCCTGCTGCTTGTCGCTAAGAAAGGTCCCTGTATAGAGAACTGGGAAGTGCCCGTACAAACCTGAAGCCCGAACCCCTAAACGAATTCCTGTTTGCGGGTTTTCTTTTGCCAGCCTGTTAAAGGGATTTCCTACTACAAGTATAGTAGGAACCCTAGGGAAGAGCACTCGTATTTCTTCAGGCTCATACACCATCGTCGGCGAATGGACGTGTTTTCAATGATTTCGATTGCTTCTCATGTCTGTACACCGTTGCTTGAATGTGTCACGATTCTGAACCTACACCTAGACAGTCTCAAAACCCTTGCCCACTATCATAGGCGACTGAATCCAATCATACACCATTGCTACCCAGAGACTCCAAGACATCCAATTAAGCAGTACTCCTGCATCCTGAATCATAGGCGAAGAACCACTCCTTCCCGAATTCAAGGGCCCTGGAGACTTTCTGTGGTCATGTGGCCAGTATTGCATAGGCCTGCTCCTCCCAGAAGCAACCAACCATCCTGAACTTAAACCTTGATATACATGTGTGTGTGTATATATATATATATATATATATATATATATATATATATGTCCTGCATCCTAGCTTCTGAAAAGGCCCTCGAACCCAAATCTAAACCCAAGCAAGCCTTAAGACCTGTTGCCCGAAGTCTCAAAGTACGAGGCTACAGTTTCAAGTTCCACTCCTTGATCAGCAAACATAACTCCACCAGAAGGGAGTAGAGTGTGTGTGTGTGTGTGACGTCTAGTGAAAACTGATTACCATTAATTATATTAAGGTCTAACATCAATAACCTACAGAAGAAGTGGTTATAGTGGTGCAAGCACGGGTTTACAGCATACCTGACCAGAACCTTGTACACACTACGCGAAAGCTCCTCATCATTGCTCCCTCACAAATCTTATATTCCCAAAATAAGACGGTAATGCTAAATCCTCCACCATCTTAAAGCTTAAAGCGTACACCATCCCAAACCCCGAACCCGAAACCCTAGAGGTGTGTGCGGGGCGACCGGTTCGAGAAAATTCCGGCAAGGCGCCTCTACAGTCGTGACGGCCATGTAAACCGCAAACATCCTCGGAGGCATACAATGGGGGGCTTTCTTAAACATTGGCCTGAGGGAGCTTTGTAGGTTTCTTTTCATCTGTTCTTGCGGATCTGTAGATTTGCTGGGTACAAACGAGCCGACAATTCCGCACTTTGATTTCAGGTAGGAGCACATGGGGTAGTATGTGGGGGCGTGTGACGGTGATTAGGTGGTTTGGGAACTTTGTGGGGTGCTTGGGGCTTTCAGGGGCTCTGGGTACCACTTACCACAGGTTCGCAGCAAGCCCAAAGCTAGACCTGATCCAAGAAACCCAAAGCAGGTATTTGCAAACCAAGAAGTGGTTCTGACAGACAGACCTTCAACCCGAAACCCTAGACATTGAACCCACACTCCTAAATCCCTAAAGACCCTCGAGTTAAGAAACCTACACTGGTGTGTGTAGAAGAGCTTTTTGTTAGATTTCCTAGTACTCGGAAAAGCCTGACAAACCACATAAAAATCAAGACTATAAATGAGACCTGCTGCAAACCAGCTGAAACCTCACTAAAACGTACAAGAGTCTGACTGAACCCTCATAAGTAGGCTCGAAAACCACTATGCAAGATCCATCGAAGAAGCTGCAAAAGACCCCAGAAGGACCCCATAAAACCGCTCATTGCTACGTCTACAAAGCCAAGCTGCAGAGTAGAGCCGAGAACGCAAGCCACGATGACCTGGTCATGTCGGGCCCCATGGGATCCTCATGTCCCCAGGTACCTTACTTAAAGGATCATGGGACTTAGTAGAAAAATACAGGTAAGGTAACTATGCTTCTAACCCCATCTAACCTTACATACTAAGTCCCATGACCCTTTAAGTAACCCAAAGAGTCCAAGTATCATTATAGTCGGCTCTCATTATATATTTGGGCCCCCCGAAGTATATACTATACCGTTACTTGGACCCTCTGGGTCAGAGTGTCAGAAGGTCATCCTTCGAGAGTGGCCATCCAAGTGAGAACGGATTTGCCATTTACTTATGCACATGTTGGATCGCTCCAACCCCTTTCGATACTCTCGGATCGAAGCTGCTATTTGGCGTGAGTTCGGCTTCGGCAGCCTGTGGAGAATAAGATGCAAACGTTTAACGTCGCACAGGATCCTGAGTACCCAAGACTACGGGTGTCACCAGGTTGCTGTTGGGGTTTGGGGAGTCGGATTTGAGGTTAGAGCTTGGGGTCGAAAAAGGATCCCACGTGGCTTGAGGGTGTCACACGGTTTTCCGGGTTTCGGGGTTAGGCTATAGGGTTTCGTGCCGCAATTGATCCAGAGATTATGAGGGTAAAGGAGCCCACGTTCGATACGGGTGTCATAAGGTCGTTGGGTTTATGGTCGCAAAGGATCATAAGTATTCCATTCGTGACATAAGGTTGTTTCTGGCGTTTAGCGTTGTTGGGGGTGGCTTGGGAGGGATCCTAAGTACCTTGAGGGTGTCACAAGGTCTTTTCGGATTTCAGGGCTTCGTGTTCCAGCATTCTGGATTGGGAGGTTCCTAGGTCCTAGGTACTCTGGAGATGTCATAAGGTTGTTGGTGCGGTCTACGGCATGCCAGCGATGAATGCCGGTGACATGGGCAACGACTGTTTCCGCATGCGGAGTCTTGGGGTGTTCGTTTCGTGCAGTTGCCGTAGTCTGGGAAGTCTGCTTTCTACCGTGTTCAGGTGACTAATTGAGCACCTTACGGCGTTAGTTTGTGTTCAACAGTTGCAGCAATAGCAACCTTGCTTTCTGCTGTGTATGCGGCGCTGATCGGGTTTTAGGGAGACGCGAAATATCAACGTCTCAGTAAATATGGCAACCGTGCTCTATACTGTGTATCTGTATAGGACTTTAAGCATGTTGGGGTTGGAGGTGGTATTTTAATTCACAAGCAGGAGAATCGATCGGCTGCGGTAGCTTAAGCAGGGCTTTTGGAAGGGCTTACATGCTTGGCTTCAAGGAATTTTTTTATCGTGTATATGGGGATTTCTTGCCAACACCAGACTACCAATTGCAATCGGTGGCACTGTAGGTCCAAACAGTTAGCAACAATACCCCTTATGCTCCCCACAAGTACCATGTTCAGGCCTATACAACCGTATAAGAATCCTATACTAAACCCACAGCCGTATAAGAAGCCTGTATTAAACCCTATACAACCGTATAAGAACCCTATACCAAACCCTCTCCAACGGTATATGAAGCCCATTCTGTTGGGATGCTTTGGTCTAATCCGTGGCATCTTCGGGCTCGGAGTTTTCAGGTCAACCTCTCTGGGGTTTCTCGTGTCAATTCCTGCATACCCCTCCCGGGCTCAGGGTTTAGGGTTCGGGTTTAGGGTTGATACATTTCACATTTCACAGTTTAGGGCTTAGGCGGGTTTAGGGTTTAGGACCCGGAAAAGCGAAACCCCAAGTCAGAACCGAAACACCCCTAGGAAAGGGGAGGGTTAGTAATCAGGAGCCTCAAAATCTTAAAACTCTCGACTGAACACAAATCCACCAACATGTGAAACCTCCACACACGGAAGCCCAAAGCCTAAACCGATATTCTAGGGCCTTATTTGATACTTCTGTGTGACACCATGCAACAGGCCGCGTAAGACCCTAAACCCTGAAGCCTGAACCCTAGACCCTGAACCCTAAACTCTGAAGCCTAAACCCTAAAGCCTAAACACTAAACCCTAAAGCCCAACCCTGAACCCTAAACCATGCACCCTACACCTAAACCTTAAAGCCTAAACTCATCCCTTCAGTCTCTAAGGACTCACATTTTAAGGTGTTTGGGCCAAAGACCATACCTGTAGCCGAAAAGACCTACCTTTTTAAGGAACTATACATAGAAACCATAATAAGGAACCCTAAAAAGGTAGGTCTTTTCGGCTACAGGTACTGTATAAGGCTTTTGGGCTATTTTGCGCCTTAGGATTATAGAACAGGGTTTGGCTGAACCCGAAACCCTAAGCCCCTCAACCCTAAAACCCGAAAATACCCCTCAACCCCTAAACCCATTAGTACCCTTATAGAACCCTTAAAAAGGAGCCCTTTAAGGAATCCTAAGCCTTTAAACCCTCAATTAGGTACGCCTAAACCCATCTGGATCGGGCCTGAGGCCGAAATCTTTGCGGAGCGAAGACGATGGCCAAGGCAGACAGGACCAGTAAGAGACCTTGTTTAGGGGGTTCAGCAGGGTCTAAGGTTTAGGGATTTAAGGGTTTAGGATAGTAAGAGACCTCGATATCGAGGGTCTAAGGTTTAGGGGTTTAACAGGGTCCAAGGTTTAGGGGTTCTCGTTTGGCTTAGGGGTTTATAGGGTCTAAGGTTTAGGGGTTTAGGCGGGTATAGGGTTTAGGGGCTTAATTAAGAGTTCAATAAGGTCGAAGGTTTACGGTTTGGGGGCCGAGGGACCGGTAAGAGACCTCGTTCAGGGGCCGAGGATGATTTAGAGCTTAGGACCTACTGCTGATGGACAAAATCCTGCATTACCCTTTATAAGGAATATACCATAATTCCCATAGTTTAGAGTCCTTAGGGTCATGCAGGATTTTGTCCATCAACAGTAGGGGTTCGAGGTTTAGGATTTAGGGGCTTATGGCTTAGGGTTAAGGGGTCTAGGGGATAAGGGATCTACGGCTCAGGGTTTAGGTGGGGTCTAGGATTGCGGGTTTTAAGGGTTGTGGAGTTACCGCCCCCAGTGGCTTCTATCTGCTTGCTCATGCTGGATGTAAACCGTAAACCCTATAAACCCTAACTCCGCCACCAGGTTGTGAGACTCAAGAAGAGCCGCAAAGCCTGGGGCAGAAGCAAAGGGCGAGCTCGCCTGCCTCAGCTTCTGCGGGTGTTGCCTCGATGCACGGAGTGGGTGGAGTAGATCAGATCCCCCTCATTGTTGGGGGGGCGGTGCTCTGGGTTTAGGGTTTAGGGTTTTGGGTTTAGGAGTGCCCCTCCAAGCAGCCTTCAGCTTGGAGACGTGGTGTCGTCAGATCTTCTCCTGGAAGTTCGAAGCATCCGGCACGAGGTCTGAGCAGCATGCCAACATCGCTGCTGCGAGCTGATGCAAACCATGCGCATTCCTTCCGGCGCCGAAGCCTCTGCCTACTGCAATACTTAAAGGATCATGGGACTTAGTATGCAAGGTTATAAGTACCTTAATCGGGGCTATAAGTATAGTTACCTCCTTACCCATAACTCTCGTTACTAAGTCCCATGATCCTTCAAATAGTCCAAAAGTAGGTACCATGTATAGACGAGATTAGACCCCAAAGCAGGTACTACGGTTGATGGTATGGGATTTATGGTATGTTTCTTACTATGGGTAATGCCGGGTTTATATCATCAACCGTGTTTGCATACTTGGGGAGTCTTTAAAAAACAGCAAGAAGTAGACGCTTGCATCGGCACCGCGCGGCCCGGTTGTGCATCTTCGCACGGTACGACTGAGACAGTGCTGGAGGTGCTCACAGGTTGCGGGGTTAGGCTGTAGGGGGTGTAGGGTTTAGACTTTTAGGACTTAGGGTTTAGGGTTTAGGGGTTTAGGGTTTAGGGTTGAGCAAATTCCACGTTTCGCCCTTCAGATATTTGCTGGTTTTGGGCTTATGGCCTTGGGGGTTAGTCTAGGATTCCCCCTGAACCCCCAGCCACAAAGCCCTGTGAAACCGTTTTTGAGAAATCTTGAACAGAAAGGCCCATGACAAATTAGACCCAAGAGTAACCTAGGAACAAAAAGGGTGCCCCTTTTTGGTTTGAAGGGGCTTATAATGTGGGAACGTGAAACCCTAATAAAAGGGGATAAGGGCCTACTTTTGATCCTAGAAACTGAACTTTCCGGGACTTTGAAGTAACCAGGGAGAAAAAGTATAGACTTTTATTTCATAATGGTTCCTTTAAGAAACAGATACCAAAAAAGTCTTCAAGTATGGTACTCCAAACCCAACTTCTGTCAAGATTTCATCCTCGGACTTCGATGCAGGCGCCCTCAACAACTTGAGGGCTTTTTTTAAGTTGAGCTGCACCCCCGTTTCCGACGATCCGAAGCGCTGGCAGTTTTGCTCTCAACTAGAGAGGTTGAGGGGTTTAGGGTTTAGGGTGGGTTTGGGTTTGGAGTTCCTGTTCCTTCACCTTCCAGTCTTGGCTGGGCGGCAAAGCACCAAGAACTGCTTCTTTGTGGGCATGAAGGACATCAGCATCTCCTGCGTCGCAGGCTTGAGAGCTGCCGGCTATCGATGTCCAGCTTAGGCGTGGCACTTTTGGGGCCATTTCGCTGGGCTTGAGTTGACGTCTTTGCCCTTCAGATCCTGAAGCCTGAGCTTAGGCACCGGGCTCAGGGCTCTAAAGGGGCCCGGGTTATGGGTCCCTGGCCTAATGAAGCCCTAAACCCTCGACCCTAAAACACTCAATTTTCCTGAAACCCGAAGTCCCTAGACCATAAATTACCTAGCCACCAGACATCCAGAGGCCTGGAAGAAGCTCGGTAAAGGCTCTTCCGGCGGCTTCTCGACGTACTCCCGGCCCTCGCCAGCCTCTGGGACGTTTCTTCTTAAATTGTTTTCGGACTGCTCTTTGAGAGAGTTATTGCAGGGGACGGGTTTCTAAAGATTCGCGGTCCAGGCCGGCTGAAGGCCAACTTGGATGCTTAGAGGTGGTACGTAAATGATTGCAAAGATCAGGATTGCGTTGCATGTTTGGGAGTCGTCAGGGTCCTTGTAGTAAGGATCTTATGCTGTAGGGCTTATAGTTAGACCTTAGGGGTTGATGGTTTTACAGGATTTAGGGTTTGGGCTTTGGGTGGTTGAAGCTTTAAGTACGGTGTAGAGTTCAGGGTTATTTCTGTAGTAATTTTTAACCTCCCATGTATGATCGCGACTGCAAGCGGAAGATGAACAAAAGGCTCTAAAGGAAACAAAGACCCTGCGCCAACATGTAGGCTTTAGGGTTTAGGCCTGAGGCTTTGAGGTACGATGGTAAACACGGCGACGGTCGAGTCGAAGAAGCGGATGCAAAAGTAACCCTAAGGGTCCAAGGACCTAAAAAATCAAATAACTCTCCCAAATACTAAGCTACATAACTACTATCCGAAACCTGAGTACCCAACTATTGGGTCCTTTGGACCCTTAGGGTAATGGAAGCATCGAGCTGCAAAACAGGAACCTTCAAAACCGTTGTCTGCTTATGAAACCGTTTCTGAACTCCTTGAGAAGCAACCAAACACCCGACTATGTGGGAGTTTCCGAAAATGGGAGACCCTAATCCAGCACCCTAAACAGTAGCGTCTTTAGTACAAGGACCCCCAAATCACCCTAAACCCTAAACCCCTGAACCCTAAACCCCAAAAACAAGGTAACACGTAATTTCGAAAAACTCATATATACTAGCCTTACATACCCCTTTAAAGGAACCCTAAAGGTAAATATTTAGGCCCCTATACTATAAATCTGCAACTGCCATCTTCGAGGCGAGAGGCAGCTTCCAGGATCGCTTTACCGAAGTCAACGCTCTTCTTGGCGTGCTTGGTCCTTTGTTCAAAGGGCGTAGGTTGCGTTTTAAGTGCAGTGGGCTTTCTCTCTGCCCGCCTCAGACGGGCTTAGGGTTTAGCGTTTAGCGGTTCAGGGTTTAGGGTATATGGTCTTCTTGGCGTGCTTGGTCCTTTGTTCAGCGTTCCCCGAGACTCCAATATCCCATAGTTAGGGAATATTCCTGAAATATCATATAGGGAATCCTACTCGAATTTGAGGTCCATTCTTTCATTAAGGGATCGATATTGGAGTCTCTAGCTTGCTCCTTGGGTTGATAACGGCCAGGTATGGGTAAGCCCAGAGTCGACCTTTCGACATGTCGTAAAGAACGAACACATTCGGTCCCGGGTACCCAGAGCCTACAAAACCCCTTAACTAAGGAATATACCTTAAACTATATTAGGCATACTATTATGGTTTAAGGTATATTCCTTAATCAAGGGTTTAGGAGGCTCTGGGTATTGGCTGTGAGCCGGCCGAAGCAACGGCGTGTCAAACCCGTTCTACAGCAGCCGATAGTTGAAGCCTTCGTATAATTAGAACATGGTGGAGGGCGTGATAGTTCTATCATATAGAATATGGAGACTATGAAATATCGCTGTAAATTCGATCAGTGCGGCCCGAAACTTTGTCATCCAGAATTGAGGGAGCCTCCAGGGTTTAGGGCATCTAGGGTTTAAGGGTTGAGGTTTCAGGGTTTAGGCTTAAAGCGCTCGGGGTTTGGGGTTTCGAGTCTCGGTTCCACGGCCCAGACAAGGACAATTATAATTATTGGCACATATGGGCAGTTCTAAAATTTGGGGTCCCTTTTTAGGGCCCCGAACTAGTACGGCACCCATATAATTAACACGGATCTAAACAGAACCCTAATTCAGTTAGAGAACTACACATATGCAGAAAGAGAGTTCAGAACCATAAAGCAAACCTACCGGAGACACTAGCCCAACCGCCCCTACTAACCCGAAACCTATATCCAAAGTCCTATACCAGACATCCTGAGCCCGAAGCCCTCAGCTCAAGCCCGAAAACACTATCGGCCCCTTGAACGTCCAAGTGCCTGCACCATGCCCTGACTGGTTTTTTGGTATCTGGAAACCTAAGTGCCCAGTTGCCTAACTGCTAACTTACTCGGTTATGGGCGCTATAAGGTTTAGATATGCATATACACATATACTTATTCTGAAGAACATTATATATATATATATATACACACATACATGTATGTATGTACACATGCAGATACATAAGGTCGAAGGGGTATCTGAGACCCGGTGTCACAAAAGCAGCCGGGTGGCTGCGCACGCTCCAGCTCCGCAGCTAGGCGCTTCACCCCGGTATCCTTCGGAAACCGACTGCAATAGCTACCTTAAGGGATCTATAGGGTTCCTTTAAGGGATCTATAGGGCTTGGGGTTTCTTTAAGGGATCTATAAGGGATCTATATATGGCCTAGGGTTTAGGAGTCCAATATGCCGTAAATAAGAAATATTCTTGAAATCATATTAGGGATCCCACTGTAATTTAGGGTATATTCCTTAACTAGGCATGTTGGCGTCTTGGGTTCTTCTATCCGTAAAAACCCCAAATCCTGTACACCTTAATCCCTAAACCCTCATTACCCTAATACCCTACACCCTATACACCTCAATGACCTAAACCCTCATACCCTGATACCCTAAACTCTATACGCCTTAATAACCTAAGCCCGAATACCCTAAACCCCTAAACCTAGTGACCTAGTAGTCGAATACTCGACGTCAGGGGCTTCTCTTTATGGGGTGTAGAGGGCTTGTCGGCCTTTAGGGGTAAAGGGCTTCAGGTTTGGGGCTTAGAGGGCTTGTCGGTCTTTCTGGTAACGGGGTTGGGGAGTCAGGGTTTAGAGGGCTTGTGCGTCTTTAAGGCTAAGGGTATCGGGCTTTGCTTGGGGTTTAGAGGGCTTGTCGGGCGTCGGGCTTAGGGGTCTTAAGGGCCTGCAGGTCGTGAGGGTGCAGGGTTTTAACGGGGTTTCGAGGCCTTGTCGGTCTTATGACTCATGACTTAAGGGCGGGCTTGGCAGCCATTAGGGTTCAGGGTTTCAGGCAGAAGGTTTAGATGGCTTGGCATCTAAGACTGAAACGGGTATAGCTTCCAATGGGCAGGGTTTAGTTCAGAGATTCGGAACTACTCGTAGAGTTTGCACGAGGTAAGGAGCATCGCTCTGTTGTATAGGGTTTCTTGAGGCTTTTAGACTGCTTTATTCAAATGTCTGTACACACATGCTGTATTTTCCGGGAGGTGAAGTTTTTGACAGGGGCATACGGATTGAGGGTGGAGGTGCTTGGTTTTTTTAAGGGTTCAGGGATTCGATTTTGTAGGGTTGGCAAGCCAGGGACAGGGGAATGATTTCGGCTTTTGTTATCCTTGCTATTGCTTAGGGTACCTGAACCTGAACCGTAAGGCTCAAAAACCTAAGGTTCAAACCTCCCGCAACATCAAACCTAGTCCCTCCTATGGGAGTTTCCGAAAAATACGGGGCCCTAATATAATATGGTACCCTAAATGGTAGGATCCTTACTATGAGGATCCCAGAATAAGGTAGCTCTAATTTTCAGAAACTCCCTTATCTTTCAGGTCCAAGAGGTCACGATCTAGACTATTCGGGGGCCCTCCGGTCTGGGATAAGACGTCTTTGACTTCAAATGCCTGGCACTCTCTGAAAAAGATAGGGTTGAGGGTACAGTGTTAAGGTTTCGGGTTTAAGGCTTAGGGCATAGGGATGCCCTTGGTATGGAGATCGGATACCATAAACCCCAAACCCTAGACCCTAAAGCCATAAACGAGCCCGAACACCAAACCCTGGATGGATTGATGCCATACTTCCTAAACATAACAAGCAATGGCACAATCCTGCATTATTTGTGGACTATGCTATACCGCCTAAGCTGTCACAGTACGTGCTGCCGACCTCTGGATCAAGCGACCAAGCTGTTGAAACTAAGAAGCCCGCGAACCTTGCCCTTCAAAACCTAATCATGTAACACCTTGACATATGACCCGAAAAAATCCTTGATGAAGTGTCCTGTGATGCGATTAGGATCTCATTTTTGCCGCTAGCCGCTAGCCGTTTAAGCCAGTGAATGAATTGAGCTAAATCCTTAAACGAACCTGCGACACTCAATAGTGCAGCACTGCTATGCCACAAGGCATGATCTTGGTGATCCGCTGCGGTGTGTATAGTGATACTCATTGCCCATTGCGTTTCTCTTCAGAAATGGTGGCGAGAGCCTTCTTCAACGACAACCACAAGGATCGGACCCACGAAGTGGAAGCCGCCTTGAACCGGCTGCTGGTAGACGAAGTCCCAGACCTGGGGAAGACAAACGGCCCAGGATGGCCCTTTCCTTCCTCCGTGTTCAGAAACGCTTTCGCGAGTCGAATTCTCGGAAGGTGCCACGCTTGCATGCCACAGGGCAAGGTTCCGACACCTGAGGCCCGTCGCAAGAAGAGAGGTGTGTCTTGCAAAGCAAGTTCAAGGCTTCCCAAGGCGGTAAAGGCTTCAACCCCTGAATCCTACACTCGCTTTGAGCCCGCCAGCTCCCGGGCCCATAACCCGGACCTCCAAAATAGCCCAAAGTAGGTACTATTTGTCGACTTTAGACCCCCAAAATGTGTACAATTTGTATACTTGGGGCCCTAAGCCCTATAAACCCTCGACCCCTAAACCCTGAACCCTAAACCCCTAAACCCCAATCCCGCAACCCCAAACCCCTCAACCCTAAACCCTAAACCCCTGAACCTTATAAACCCTAAGCCCCTACTCCCCTCAACCCTAAACCCCAAAATCCCCAAACCCCTGAACCCTAAACCCCTAAACCTTAAACCCTAAGCCCCTACTCCCCTAAACCTTCAACCGCCTCTCCTCGGGCTGCAGCGCTCGCAGCGCCTTGCGGATTCAAGTTAAGTGAACCGTGGGTTTAGGGCTTAGGGGTTTAGGGTTTAGGGTTTAGGGGTTTGGGGTTTAGGGTTTAGGGTCTAGGGGTTTAGGGGTTTAGGGGTCTAGGGTTTAGGGGTTTAGGGTTTAGGGTTTGGGGGTTTAGGGGTTTAGGGTTCAGGGGTTGAGGGTGTTGTCTTAGAGCCCAAGTAATGTCTGCATAAGGTTTAGGCCTATTAATTAGGGTTTATGGATACCGCTGATCCTACTTGTCCAGTATCCTGGGGAACTAAAGGTAAACCTTTGGGAGAATATGGAGAGAAAGTAGATCCCCTAATTTGGGGCCCTACACTACTAAGCGTACTTTATAGGAACTCCCCCATTAAGGGATCTACGTTTTGGATCGTTTTGGGGGTCTGGGTTTGGGAGCCTTGGAGAAGGATTTAGAGGTATGACGACTAGTGTGAACCGGGTTACGGATCCTTGCGGATCCTAAGCAACGTACGTCAAGTCTCCACTGTAGTTCCACTATTTGGCTAACTAGTTTTTATGGTTAGGATCCCATCATATAGATTCTGGTTAAACAAATAAGGAACTACAATAAGGACTATAGGTGAGTGTCTAGATTACGACTTACATATCCCTATAAAGACTTTGTGTAAGTACCCTCCACCATATACACACTCAAGATCCGCTGATGGGCATGCCTACACCGATTCTGGCTTAGAGTTCGGTCCCACGATTACACACATCGCGACCTAGAACCCCCAACTACCCTCTATTGTACCCTAAATATTGGAGGATCATGGGACTTAGCAAGTAAGGTTATAAGTACCTTAATTGGGGTTATAAGCAGTAGTAAGTATAGTTACCTTACTTAAACCCTAGTTACTACGTCCCATGATCCCTTAAGTACCCACCATTAAGGATCAGAAGGGCTCTATTAAGGGGCGCTCGGGGAGTCCGGTAAACCCGAATCTATTGGGCTTAAGGTTTGGAGTTATCGACTCAGGGCTCAGGGTTTAGCTATACCTGAATTTTCTGTCGGGTCTTCTTAGAGCATATTAACCCAAATCTAAAAGTCCAGAGACTCTGCAAAGCAAATAGACTATATTGGGTCCCTAACCCTTACAAAACCTGCCTGAAAGCAGATGAAAAACACATTTTGTAGAATACGCACCAGAAACCTATTCCGTACTCTAAGCAACAAGTCCCCCTTTATTAGAACCCACATAGTACCCTTTGTAGAACCCTTCATAAAGTAGCCCTTAAAAGGAGCCCTTTTCTCTTCACTAGTCACTAAGGCCCCTAAATGCTAGAACCCAGTAGCGCTTAACCCTCAACCCCTAAACCTTACCGACCTGAAATATACTAAAACCCAGTTTCGCCTCTAATTTCGACTGGCACTTCTCGAAGTCGCCCAGGAGCAGTGCCGCCTGCAGTAGCCACAAAATTCGCGGAGCTTTGCAGCAGGGAAGCTACGGTATAGGGATGTTTAGGGTATTATTAGGGTCTGGGACGGTTTCGGGTCTTGGAGCCTTGGGTTTGGGGGTTGAGGTATTAAGGGTTTAGACTTTACGGGTATGAATTAGTGTGCAGGGCCTCATTATGGTTCGGGGTCCAGGGTTGCTGATTGAGGGCTTCAGGTTCGGGTGGATGGGGTTCGAATCCAGGGTTAGTTGGAGGCTCTGATATGATTAGGCATAGGGTCGTTAGGGATTGGGTCTTTGGGCTTCGGGCTTTGGGAGTTATCATGTGCAAGAGGGTTGCTCTGAAGTGACCATGTCTACAATGCAAAACACAAACGATCAACTGCAGGCTTCCTTCGCTTGTGTATGCTGATACTACCCCACAGCCACCACAACCACCACAACCACCATGACCACGACAACTACCAAAACAGACTACCCTAAACACCACTGCCACTACCCCTACCGCTACGGCTACTCACACATTCGACCCCAGACTCAGAAACCCCAGAACATCTTTCCAAAACCGTCTGAGCCTTGGCAATCCGGTACGAGGCCTGTCGGTAAACATGTGGGCCTTAATAATTTGAATAGGGTTTTGGGGGTGTATTCTACTACAATGGAACTGTTATAAACACACCACCGAAAGATAGTATTGGTAAGTAAAACTACTTAGGCCCTAAATTTCAGGGTTTGGGGGGTTCAGATTGAGGATGCGGCGCCAACCGTGAAAGGTCGAAGCATCCGGGCTTTAGGGTTTGGGCGGCTCGGGTTTAGGGACTTGCTGTTTTAGGGCTTAGGGTTAGGATTTAGGGTTTAGGATTTAGCGCTTACATAGACGGACAGACGGACAGAAACACTCAGGCTGACACAAAACATGATGGACTATGGGATGGCATATAGCCGAGCAGGGAGGTTGACCAACAAATTATGGGAGTGACTGTCGACCCTGTGTTTGGTTCCTGTCTGGTTTAAGAACCGGGATTTCACGCAGCTTGTGGCATTTATACAGTGAGTTTGCAACTATTCACTTGGCAGCTTGTGTCCACAGTCACTGCCCCAAAATCCGAAAGCCCAGGGCGTCTGGGCTTACACATTCTTGAGGTACTTGTACTGCACTTGTTTGAAATATGCCCCGACGGCCTTTACATACAAAGAACCGAACACGCGTCAAGTAATCAAGACACCCTCCACAAGTAATTAAGGGATACGGTTGGCGTCTCAGGGTAGTCAAATCCAAAAGCTCGCAAGACTCGACCCTTCAGTGGATTCCGAGAATGTTTGACGGACTTGCAAAATTCAACAGGTTTTGCGGAGTATGGTAAGCTGAAGCAGTTTGTTGTATATATCATACATGTCATACATATGTATATATATATATATATATATATATATATATATGTACGCAACATCAGGAATTACTATGTTCAGACCTCTTTCTTGCCCCCAAATCGGTCCTCTTTCCGAGCTGGGGCCCGGTTTGAGAAACCGAAACTCTCCAACAAAAACTCAACCCTCGACTCCTCCAAAGGCTGGGCCTCCTAGCCCCAAAGCCCAGCGTTTAGGGTTCAAGGGTCAAGACTGTCTGGTTCTCGGTAGGGAATGGGGGAATGGATTATGGCGACTTTTATTGGAGATAGTATAGGGACTACTGTAGGCAAATCCGAAAATCTTTATTACAAAACCCCAAAACTTCGAAACTCGGCCATCCAAACCGACATGATCCTGTAGCTCGGCCAACTCGGTCCGAGAGATCTCAAGCCATACTCCCGTATATCCTTATAACATAAAAAATATTATTATAAGGGTTCTAAAGGGTTTTATAGGGTTTAGGTCGTAGGGCTTCATAGGATTTTATAAGGTTCTATAAGGGTCAACTTATAGCCCTCATCCGGAAGCTCCTGGTCCAAAGCCACAACCACAATTCCGTGGCCCTGAAACCGCAAGTCATACCGACACATCCGAAACCCTGGCCAAAACCCTAAAATTTTGGATTGCAAACCCGAGCCGCCCTCATCTTTTCAACATGCCACGTCCTAACTGCCTCCGCCTTGGACCCTAAACCTTCTAAAGTCCTAAATGTCTACGTAATCCAAATCTTTTCAAGACTCACCTTTCAAAACCGTTGAGTCTGAGAAACCTCCACTCCTCCACATCCCGAGTCCTGTCCTACCTCTTGGGCATCTTGGTGGTATGCTATAGAGTGACGTAAAGGGTTAGACGATTAGGCTAGGGTTTTGGGGGGGGATCCATACCGACATCCCTACACCCCAAGCCCTGATACCTATACCTAAATCCCTAAACCCTATAAACCCTAAACCCCTAAATCCCTACACCCAAGCCCTGATCCCTAGACCCTCCAACTCAGGCCAGGAGCTTTCTCGTGCTTCGGCACCTTCGAGGCCCAAGTCGTCTTTTGTGGCACTTCGGAGCCCAAACCCTGGTCCTATTAGAGTTTAGGGTACAGGGTTCAAGGTTAAGGGTTCCGAATTCCTACTAAGAGCTCTTCCTGTCTACCTTCAAACATAAATGAGCACATGCCTAAGCTGGGGTGCTCAGGTATAGAAGCCTGCAGAAGAAGAGTCGCTAGCCTCCTGAAGCCCCTAAAGTTTAGGGTTTAGGGTTTAGAGTTTAGGGTTCTAGGGCTTCAGGTTTAGGGTTTTGGGGGTTTAGGGTTTGTGAGTTCTGGTGCTTGTTGTAAAGCTCCGTCGTCCCAAGATCAACAACACGTCGTCTCCTGTAAAGGCCTCTGGGACCCTATAGGGCCCTAAACCCAGGACGAGTAGCTTTAGATTTTGAAAGAAAATTCATATATAAGTAAGATTTTATGTATACATATATATATATATATATATAGATATATACATATATAAACCCTAAAGAGATGGAGTGCTGGGCCTCAAGATGCAGCCTCAACTGTGTGGTTCTTAGTAGGGAATGGGGGAAGGGGATCCCTCTAGTAGTCCCTATATGATCCCGTTATAAGCCCCAACAATAGCCGTTCCGTACAAAGCACCAGGCTTTTAAGCCCTGAATGGGCCTGCCATTTCAAGCAAGGTCCTGTTTTAGGGTTTAGGGCTTCGGGCCCGAGCCCGAAGAACGCCCCGACCCATAACGGCCAGCAAAGCGCTGCAAGCCTTGTAGACGAATCCTTATGTAGGCCATCTAGAATCTGTCAAAACCCGGTAATGCCCAGAAACCCTAAAAACCTAAACCTTAAACCCATAAACCTTAAACCTTAAACCCTTAGCCTCAACCCTAAACCCTACAGCCTTAAACCTCTAGACCCCTAAACCTCCAACCCTAAATTACCAAACAGTAAACCCTGGGAGCTGGAAGATCTGAGGCGAGTGGCCAAGTCCAGGGCTAACTCGGCCTTTTCCAAGGCATCACGGGCACGGCCTGGCTTACGGCCTTAAGGGTTGCAGGTTTTATCTTTTAGGGTTTAAGGTTTAAGGTTTATAAGGTTTAGTTAAGGTTCAGGGTTCATAAGGTTCAGGGTTTTGGGTATAACGTTTTGGGTTCAGGGCTTTTTGTTGAAACGGCACTTTTCCAACTGCATGAAAAGCATACGTTTAGGCCTTTGGGGTTCATGCCTATGATATCGAAGGCCCGGATCATTCAGGGTGGGTTCCATACAGGTGCCGTTCGGGCTTTACAGTGGTTGAGGGTTTAGGGCTTAGAACTTAGGGCATAGGGTGGCGAATGTCTTCGGGAAACGAGTGCTGTGTGCTGCCAAGTATTCAGCCCCGAGGCAAGGGTTCATCAGTTGATTTTGGGTCCACGAGCCAGAATTGGGCTCTTTCGACTGATTTTGGGTCTACGCGCCAGAATTGGGCTCTTCGACAGGAGCACAATGCTGCATGCTTGCTCAATTTGAATTGAGAAGCATCTTAAGGCGGCAGGATACTCTAGAAAAAGTGAGCGAACCACTTTCGAGCTTGCCATTTCTTCAGCAAGTGCAGCCGGATAACTCCAAAGCCGCAGCCAGTTGATGCCTGTTCTTGAACACGTATTCGTTTTCAAACAATCAAGCTGAAACTTGCTGCATTCTTACCAAGCGCAGCGCCAACAGTATGCACTGGACGGGACCAGCCTAATATGATTCTATGTACATGTACAAACTCTATGACTCTTTAGGGTTTAGGGTTTAGGGCTGAAAGTGTAAGGCATAGGGTTTAGGGTTTATTGCTTAAGGGTGTAGGGCTTAAGCTATAGGGTTTCTAGGCATTGGTTCACCAATAGTCTGGATGCCGGACCGCCCTCGGCGAGGATCAAAGACATCAAAAGCGTTCATGGTATCAAAGCCACTTTTAAACCGAAAAACTGGCCCCGTACGTTAGGGTGCGAGATTGGTTGTATGAGGGTTCGACAAGGGTATGTAGGGTCCTAGCATGTCAGGGCTTAAGGTGCGGTTGCGATGTTCCGTTTTGGGCCTTTAGTGCGTTGAGGAGGACGGTAGAAAAGCTGATACGTAACAACCGTGCCTTACGGCATCCGTATACACTTTCGGGGTTTGAGGACTTAGGAGCTTTGGGGTTATGGATTGCAGTAGCTCGGGTTCGCATCAAAGAGTTCGGGGAGGCTTCTGCTGGCGCAAAACGCCCTCGATGTACAATCCATACAAGTATCAAACCCAAAAAGACCAATAAAGAGCCGTCAGCCATAAACCCGAAAGCTTCACCTCCCCCCCTCAAAACTCTGGGCCCTAGACTAAACTCTACACTCTACACCCCCAAACCCGAAAACCTTCCGCTTCCCAAAACACCTCAAGCAAACCCTGGACCCTAAGCTATCAACTACCCTTAGCCCGAAACCCTTCCCCAAAGGGCCGAGACTATCTGGCCACATTATTTTTCTGCTTCTGCTGCCATTTTGTTTTTTGGGCCTTGGGCCTTGTTACTCTGTTACTCTCATACTCTTATACTCTATTACTCTATGACTCTATCACTCTATTACCCTATGACTCTATTACTCTCTTGCTCTACAAGCTCTATTACTCTATTGCTCTAGTACTCTATTAGTCTATTGCTCTGTTACTCTATTACTCTATTACTCTATTACTCTATTACTCTATTACTCTAGTACTCTAGTACTCTAGTACTCTAGTACTCTAGTACTTTATTACTCTATTACTCTATTACTCTATTACTCTCTTACTCTATTACTCTATTACTCTATTACTCTATTACTCTATTACTCTATTCCTCTATTACTCTACTACTCTACTACTCTATTACTCTATTACTCTTTTAGTCTATTCCTCTATTACTCTGTTACTCTATTACTCTATTAGGGTGTAGGGTGCAGGGTTTATAGGGCCTAGGGTTTAAGGTTTAGGGTGTAGGGTTTAGGGCCTGGGGCTTAGAGGTCAGTCGCGGGCCTGAAGCAGTAGCTTCGGAGCTACTGCTGCTTTTTTTTCATCTTGACAACCGGCTTGGACTTCTGGTCTGACTTCTGCACCTGCTCAGCATGAAATGGCAGTAGCTTCTGTGTCTGGAAAGTGACAAAAACAATTGCGCTAGAAACCTTGGCGTGGAGTTTGCTGAGACCGGATCTGCAGGATCGACACAAGAAGTCTCCATGCTTCAAGTGCGATCTCCTCCTCCAGGCGCCAGAAGCATTCAGCATGGGCACTTGCGATAGGAACAGTGAGGCTCCAGCGGGCCGCGAAATGCGCTGGAACTCTGATCGGTCTTTATAAAATGTTTCGCTGTCAGCCTGTCAGCAACACAGAGCAGCAAAGAAAAAAGAGGTCATGATGCTTGCTTCGCACGCCTCCCCATCTCTCTGGTGTTGTGGCAGCCGTTGACGCGGCAGACCGGTTCGTTGCATCAGCAGCGAGACGCCGCCTCCCTAGTTACCATGGGAGGTGAGGGACTGGATAGGTCTGTGGTGAATTCAGTCCCGGAACACTTCCAGGCAGCAACCAACCAAGTAGGGAACGCGTGATCGATTGCTTGACAGTCCCTGTCATCCACCGTTGAGGTTTGGCTCTGTGAGAAAGAGGAGATGAGGAATGCTGAGAGATTCAGCGTCTGTGCCCAGGTGTAAAGCCAGCCATGACGCGTGGACACCCACTTTACTGTCACAGAAATAAGCTCGCCGCCATTCCGTAACAGGTGGCAAACAATTCAATTACAATCACCAAAGCTGTAGACTAAAGAGGGGGCCTCGCAGTGACGAGAGAAACGCCAGGCTTTGCTTACACTCACACCGACCCTCCGAAAAATGGTCTGAACCTTCTAGCAACTGTCACTGTCTCGGCAATGATGCAAGGGTTCAAGCACGGACTTGGTTATATGGCGCACCTCCGGCTGATCCGGCTGTGTGCGCCTCCTGCCACATCTGTGGCAGTAGCGGGCGTCTTCCACGAAGGCCTCAGGCAACGGCGCCAACTAAGGTATGGCTACCATCTGTGCTTCTGAATCATGGTGGGGTCGCGGTGGCCGCCCGCGTCTCGTCGCTGCCACCCACCCCTCCTACCACGGCGCCTCCCCTGCCAGTGGCAGCTCAGAGATATGAGGTCTGCACGACAGATAGAATTACCATTTTACGTTACATACTGGTAGATGTGCTTTCTGTATGTATGATCCAAGATTCAAGAGATATGCATGTGTATCGTCCACAGTTACATTGAACCAAAATTGTTAAGTATGATTATTGTGAGCGCCAAAAGCGCTGAAAGCGCAAGAAGCGACGACTCGTATCATGAGGCAGGGTTCAGGGTTCAGGGGGGAAGTCAGGAGCTGAGGGTTGAGGAATTTGTGTTTGTCGGTGCTTCTATGGCTCTTGCTGCTAGTGCTGTTGTTGCCGTAGCTGCTGCTGCTGCTGGTGTCGTAGCCTCTTGTCTGAACTGTGGTTGTTGTTGCTGTTATTGTTGTGGCTGTTGTTGTTGTTGTAATGCAACGGCCGCCGCCACCACCACCCCCAGCATAAGACCACTACTATTACTAGTACTAGTACTACTAGTACTAGTACTATTACTATTACTTCTACTATTACTATTACTATTACGATTACGATTACTATTACTATTACGATTACGATTACTATTACTATTACTATTACTATTACTATTACTATTACTATTACTATTACTATTACTATTACTATTACTATCACTATCACTATCACTATTACTATTACTATTACTATTACTATTACTATTACTATCACTATCACTAGTACTAGTACTAGTACTAGTACTATTACTATTACTATTACTATTACTATTACTATTACTATTACTATACCCCCCCTCCGCCCAAGATCTACACCCGCCTCTTCCACACGATCCCACAGGTTGCTTCTCTACATTGGTCGACTACTCATATATACCGAAAACACCGTAAATACCGATACAATCGTGCTTTACCTCATGTGCATGCAAACCGTGCTGCTGCAAGGCGCGGGTTTGATATGTGTAAAAATCTGGCGCCGAATCTCGGCCGCGGATTTATGGTAGTTTATGTGTTGGAGAAGCTGAAATGCTGGAGGGCGTGCTAGTTTTGCTCATGTAATACTAAAAGACCTAGTGTTTTTTGCATTTTATGGTGTGTTATTTAACAACATTCCTGTAATAATACAAATACTATTGTCTCTCTTACGAAGACGTCTTGGTGCGTGGGCCATCTCTTTCCCGCTGCTCGTGAAGCGTCCGATTCTGATGCGGCCCAATCGCTCTAGCGTTTGATTTATGAGTTACGAAATACAGAGAGCTCCTTTCATGTCCTGTCCATTACACATGAAGGAAGCCGAATATACGGGCGCGTTTATTTTTGAGGCAATACTCCAATAGTTGTTCTTTGGCTCATAAGAAATGGGAAAGCTCCCCTGGAGTTGAAAAGTTCATGTGCATATGCGGGCGCACAAGAAAGCTCGCCTGCAGCAAAAAGTAAGAGAGCTCTTGCAACCTTCCAAACATGAAGCAGGACTGTTCATACTTATCAAACAAGAGTAATGAAAACCGTTGCTGCTCCAGAAGGCACATAAAACAGTACTTCCAGTCCTTGACAACGGTTGCAAGCACCCAATTATCTTGTGATGCAGTATATCCTGTCCTGGACATCAGAAAAGACTGTAATGCTCAAAAAATTCCAAAATTTCTAACCCTGCAACTCACGAAACACTGTAATGCTCAAAAAATTCCAAAAATTCCAAAATTCTGGCATCTATGGCCAGGACGGGGGCAGATTCCTTAAAAGTTTGGAATTTTTTGAGCATAGCAGTGTTTCGTCAGCTTTGAAGCAATGAAAAATGGTTTTTTTTGAGCATTGCACCGTTTTGTGAGTTTTAAACCACGAAACAGTGCTATGCTCAAAAAAAAAGAGCTTTGAGGCTGTGAAAAATTGTTATTTTTTGAGCATTACAGTGTTTTATGCGTTTTAGACCACGAAACACTGCTATGTTAAAAAAAATGAGCCTTGAGTCTGTCAAAAGTTGACTTTTTTTGAGCATTACAGTGTTTTGCGAGTTTTAAACCACGAAACACTGCTATGCTCAAAAAATTCCAAAATTTCTAACCCTGAAACTCACGAAACACTGTAATCCTCAAAAAATTCCAAAAATTCCAAAATTCTGGCATCTATGGCCAGGACGGGGGCAAATTCTTTAAAACTTTGGAATTTTTTGAGCATAGCAGTGTTTCGTGCGTTTCAATGCTTGGAAAAGTTGATTTTTTTTGAGCATTACAGTGTTTTGTGAGTTTTAAACCACGAAACACTGTAATGCTCAAAAAAAATCAAATTTTCACAGCCTCAAAGCTCTTTTTTTGAGCATAGCAGTGTTTCGTGGTGTAAAACTCACAAAACACTGTAATGCTCAAAAAAAACCATTTTTCATTGCTTCAAAGCTCACGAAACACTGCTATGCTCAAAAAATTCCAAACTTTTAAGGAATCTGCCCCCGTCCTGGCCATAGATGCCAGAATTTTGGAATTTTTGGAACTTTTTGAGCATTACAGTGTTTCGTGAGTTTGAAGTTAAAAATTTTGGAATTTTTTGAGCATAGCAGTGTTTCGTGGTTTAAAACTCACAAAACACTGTAATGCTCAAAAAAATCAATTTTTCATTGCCTCAAACCTCACGAAACACTGCTATGCTCAAAAAATTCCAAACTTTTAAGGAATCTGCCCCCGTCCTGGCCATAGATGCCAGAATTTTGCAATTTTTGGAATTTTTTGAGCATTACAGTGTTTCGTGAGTTTCAGGGTTAGAAATTTTGGAATTTTTTGAGCATAGCAGTGTTTCGTGCTCCCCATGCCCCAAGAACCACGAAAGCGTAGATCTTGCGGGGGGGGTGAGCTACTATTACTATTACTATTACTATTACTATTACTATTACTATTACTATTACTATTACTATTACTATTACTATTACTGTTACTGTTACTGTTACTATTACTATTACTATTACTATTACTATTACTATTACTATTACTATTACTACTATTACTATTACTTTTACTTTTACTATGCAGCACTATTACTATTACCATTACTATTAAATATTACCATTACCAATGCATAAAGTCATGGAGCAAAGCCTGCGGGTCACGCGCTTCGCGCGCACTGTTTCTTGTACTATTACTCTATTCTTTATTACTCTATTGCTCTATTGCTCTATTGCTCTATTGCTCTATTGCTTTATTGCTTTGTTACTTTACTACTCTATTAGTCTTTTCGTCTTTTAGTCTGTTTAGTCTGTTTAGTCTATTAGTCTATTAGTCTATTAGGCTACTAGTCTTCTAGTCTATTAATCTATTCGTCTATTCGTCTATTCGTCTATTAGTCTACTAGTTTATTATGTTTATTAACCTATTAGTTTATTATCAGTCTATCAGTCTATTAGTCTATGACTGTATTACTCTATTACTCTTTACTATTACCAGCACTAGTACTATCTATAACAAACACGAAAAAAGAAAGACCACAGCTGCAAAAAAATAACGGCTACAAAAATAGGCCCTCCTTCCCCAAATCCCTGAAGAACCCGACCCAAAATCCGTCCTCAAATCCTGAACCCTAAACCCTAAACCCCCTAAACTGAAGGCACCCTGCCTTGGCTTAGGTAGACTGCAGCCAGGTTCGAGGAAATGTCTGCGATCGTCTTCGTGGCCGTGGCTGCCTCGGTTTACAGTGAATCCGGCTTTAGGGTAGGTTCTGGGGCTTTAGGGCTTTAGAATTCAGGTTCCTAGTTTAGGGATTGGGGATTTAGGGTTTAGGGGAGCTATATTTCATCCTACAGTAGAACCCCAAAAAGTTGGAAACCCCATAGCCTCAGTCCTTTAGAGTAATGTATAGGAACTCCCAGCACTACTTGGCCTTAATCCGGTTTCCAACTTTATGGGTTTACTGTAAGGCTTGGGGCTTTAAAGTTTAGGGTTCCTTGAGGGGCTCCCGGGGTTTAAGGGCTCTACAAGGGTACTATAGGGCTGATGATACAAATCCTGCATGACCCCAAAATAAGGAATATAACAGAATTCCCATAATCTGGGGTCATTAAGGTAATGCAGGATTTCTATCATCAACCGTATAGGGTTCAGGGTTTTGGGTTTAGGGCTTTGGGGTGTTGGGGTCTGGGGGTTTAGGGGTTCAGGGGGTTAGGCACCCGTAGTACTTAAGGGCCTTATAACCACAGGGGCCCGTAATACTTAAGGGCCTAACAACCACAACCCTAGCCCTAGACCCTAGAGCCCTTCAAGAAACCCTTAAATCCAAAATGAAACCCTTCAATTCAAGAAAGCGTACATTCCCAAAACCCTAAAACCGAAAACTACAGAAGCCCCATAACACATCAACTCACAGTAACCCTCTTAGAACCCTGAAAGGAACCTCTGCATGAACCCTTAGCCTTAACTTAACAATCCCAAACCCTTAACTTGTAGTGGAACTTATTTTAGAACTCACATTGCTTCACCTAAAGCCGTTACAAGAACCCCTGAAGGAACCCTTGAAGGAGCTCCTAAAGGTTCGGGAATGAAAGGGACAGCGAACCTTAGAGGAGCCAACGAGCCCTCAAAGGAACTTTGAAAGAAGCCCTAAACACCAAAGTCTTTTTCAGAACCATAATCAACATACCCATCATGCAACCCTCATAGGAACAACGAGGAATGCTTGAATCAAACTTAACACTAAACCCAGTGTGACACCCTGCAAAAACCTTATAACCTATAACCTATAGAGCCCATGTAACCCTTAACTGGGCTTTTAAGTAACCAGGGGGAAAAAGTATAAACTTTTGTTTCATAATGGTTCCATAAAGAAAAAAGTATTAAAGTATGGTACTCCAAAGCCCAGTTAAAGGAACCTTGAAAGAACACTGAAAGAAACTCCAAACCCCCAAAACCTAACAACCTCCAGGACTCCAGAATCCATGCAACCCGTAAAGGAATCTCTAAAGGAACCCCCTCAACCCTAAACCCTGAAACCCTAAACCCCTAAAGCCCTAAACCCTAAATCTGGTTCCTTCGCTCGGGCGCTGCTGCTTCGCCACCACGTCCCAGCTCCGGCGGCGGTTTCACCGGTGCTTCGCTGAAGACCTCGCGAAAGTATGTTTACAGGCAGAACAGCCAGAATGCAGACGCATATTTTCTTGAGCCAATGAATGACGGTAGGTGCAGTTGACTAGCTACATCTTCCACAAAATACACCCCCCGCGCATCTTAGTGCAACGGTTGAGGCGAAGGCGATGGAAGGAAAGACTAGTCACTAGACCGTCGTAAGCATATCACTTTGTGACAGCGAAAACAACTTGCAACAAAAGCAAATTATGCGGCCAATGTTTTGTGCCCTTTGCTGTTCGTACGAGCAGGATAGCTACCAACCCGTTAGGGCGGTGCCGACGCTTAAATCTCACTTCACTACTAACCAGACGGCATCTAAATGTCTCAGAATACCATCCCGTTAGGGAGGTGATCAAGCTCGGCGTAATGGGCCGTCGATCAAATGACCTCAGTAGATGCGGTCACGGCGGTTGGTCCTGTAGTTGTAGACCTCATGGACCCAACCTGACAAGAACCATTGGGCATGAGAGGTGTCCAGAATCGTGAAGCCATGTGGGTTGCCATGAGTAGGAATGGCATTCACCACTGAAGTAGGCTGGATGTAATCTTCGGTCATCGCAGCGAACACCGCCCATTGGTACATGTCAACGCGGTGCCAGTCCATTCGCCTGGCAAGCGCAGGATCGATGATGTTGCCGGAAAGATCGTTCCCCAACACGAAGTGCGGGTACAACAATCCTGCGACCCTGAGCTGCTCAAAGAAGTTGACAACAGTCTCACGCATCCGGACCTGTCGGTCGGAGACATTTCTCGTCTCGAAGAACACGCCGAAGGTCGGTGGGTCATGGGGTCGCCGGCGATAGGTCTCAGACCATTCGCGCCTTGTGCCGAGATCAACAGCAGAGGACGGTGTCTCGCTCACTGTCCCATCCATAGTGGCATCGGGAGCAACCGTTTCCGGTGCCGGATTGCTGAAGCCTGTACCAGCCCGCATTGCATCCCAATCCGCGTCACTGATGTAGTCGGACGGATCACGTGCCACACGCCTGGGCGGCGGCATCGCAGGCTCCCGAGGGATGCGATCGGTAGATGAGCCCGCTGCGTCTCCAGGGTTGGTCCGGATATGGACCTCGGTCGGACGATGTCTGGCAATCGGGGACCTTGTGCGATTGCGGTCTGCTGGACCCGATGCACGCTCGTCAGAGCTGCGACCTCGTCGTGCAGGAGATGCCGGAGGCTCAGGTGGGCGGCGCTCGGACGCGGGTGCCGAAGTGGTCAACCTCACGTGGCCGCTCTCCCCGATGCGCTTATCCATATAGTATTGCTGGTACCGACGATAGTAAGGGGTATTGGCCAGCAGCTCGTTGAGCTGACGTTTGCCAAGTCCCTGTGCCTCAGCGGGTACCTGCAGATTTCTCTGGGTGCGCAGAGAAGGATTTGTCTTCTCGATCCTTGTCCGGCTCAGTGGCAATTGTGCCTGGAAGAAAGTAGCCAGCTCGGCCATGATCGGCAAGATTTCATTCTGCACGACGATGTATTTCTCCCCATCGTACTGCAGGATGGAAAACTCATGCTGGTTCGATTTCACAGCCTTGATGAGAACTGCAATCTCATTGATGGTGTAAAACCGATCATGAAAACAAATCAGACACTCCGTGAGGAGGTCGATTTCAAGCTGGCCTGTCACCCAGAGGAGGGCAACCTTCCCGGTGGCATCATAGTAGGTGGACGAACCATGCCCTTTTCCCTTGCCCTGAGGATCGGGAAGCCTCACGTTAGCGAAGCGTTGCAGCGCCTCGACAGTGTGAAAGCTGAGACCCATTTTGGCGTAGTTGTGAGCGGTGATTGGGTCCACGCTGTATTGCCCCTGCGGAGTGGTATTGTGGAGCTTCTCCGCTCTCTTCTGCTGATTGAGGACCTTCTGGCGGATGCCAGACGCTGTGCTTTGAATGCGTTCCCTTTCTTCTGGCCCTTGAGTCTTCACACGCTGGCGTGTGAGTCCCGAGGATGGCTGCAAGTCAATGATGTTGACCTGCCTGCCCTCTCGGGCGGCGCTTCGCCGGAGTCTGTCGGGCTCGGCGATAATCGCAATGTCGGTCATCTCGATGAGACGACGTTGGCAACCTGGACAGGAGATCATTCCGTCGATGTACTTGTGATTGCACGAGCTGCAATGGTACCCGGGGTAGAGGATCAACTCCTGTTTAATCCAGTGCCTTGGTTCGATCCTCTGGCGAAGTCGGATCCGCTTGCCTTCCATGGATGGCCAGACGTGGATACCGATCCCGAGCGAGCCGTCATACGTTTCGATGAGCTGGTCCTCGTTCTTCTTTCGCTCGATGACTTCTTCGCCGACCTCGCTCAAGATGTCCGCCGAAATGCGAAATGGGGTCTTGCAATCGATTGCGACCGGCGCCCACTCAGCGATGGTGAGATTCTCGGCGCTTTCCAGCAAGTCGAGAAAGCAGTTGTGCTGCTCCAAGGCAAATTGATCCGGACCAAAGATGTATTTATGACTTCCATCCTTGTTCCAGCTCGCTAGAGCGGAGTCGATGTTCCGACGGAACGCCTGGTAGGCCGGATTGACCCACACAGGCTCTGCTGTGCCCCGCTGATAAGCGTAAACCAGATATCGATTGCTGATCCAATCTGGTGTCTCCAGTGCCCCGGAGCGAGTCTCGAAGAGCCGGACGCCGTCCAAGACGGCCATTTGGAGATCGATGGCGAACTCGACGTCCGCCGCCTCGCGAAGGCCCGCATTATCATCCCTTTTCCATTCTGGTTGCTTTGACATCATGACAAAAGCTCTGCTACCACTCTCGTGGAGCGCAGCACCACCAGGCAACAATCCATATCTGATGATATCTGGGAAGTGCCTCATGAAGGTGCCGTGGTAGCCCAGTTTGCAAGGGAAATCGACAAACTCCTGGGAGAACATGTCGAACGGATGAATTTTAGGCCGAGTCGCTAGACTGGCGTCCCATGGCACAAAGGAATGCACCACGGAGTGGATGTCAGCGAGTTCGGTATCGTCACCGAAGAGCCCTGACCAATGCCCATGGATAGCCCGAGCTCGAAGCACGTCAAATTCCTGATCGTTGTGCTTCTGAATGTAAATCTCGTAGCGGGCTTTCCCGTCGACTGGGGTCTTAAAGACTTCGAAGATCTGGGAGACCTTGAGTCCGTTCCAGATCTGGCTAAGGGCATCGATGAACTCTTCCCAGTCCACCGAGAGGTCATTCCGATGAATCGTCACTGTCGGCGTTCTACTGCCGTACTCGGGCTTGTTGGTGAAGCCTCTGAGGATGAATGCACACTTCTTGCCAAGTGCGAAACGCTTGCCCTCACTGAGGATGCGATGGTCAGATGCGAAGGGCGGCAGGTCCAGGCCTGACAACCAAAATTGACCATCCCTTCCGGGAGGTGATGCTTCTGCCTTGGCACTGGCAGCGTGCTCCGCTTTCGGCGTAGGTGCCGATTTCACAGCGGTGATAAGCATCTTCTTAGGAGGCGGTGGCTGCAACGGTTCTGTAGGCTTTGCGCCAGACGATGCAGACTTCCCAGGAACTTCCTTGGGCGGGAGTGTGCCAGACCCCGACGATGAGGATGCAGCCTGCGGCACGGCAGGAGGCACAGCATGAGCCTTCGTGGCCAAAGGTAAGATACCAGTTGCCTTAGGCTCCGCGTCAGCGGGCCGTGACTTCGGAGGAACAGGTGGTTTCTTGGCCTCCTCCAACTGCATTTCCCTCATCAAATTCTGAATCCCGACGGATCCCCTCGCGTAGAATCGGGGCCGCTTGCTGAGTTCTTCTTCTGTGAGCTCCTCAAGACCTTTGAAGATTTTGTTAGACTCAGCATCCTCGTTAGAGGTGCGACCAATCTCCAGATCGAGACCGTAGACGCCGAGGGCATTCGCCAAGGCAATCTCTTCATCAGTCGCAGTCTCTTCACCGTGACTGCCGATCTGGAGCTTGGTGATCATCACAGAGGGATCCGAGTTGTCCTCAGTTCTCTGGACAACATTCTCGGCTCCAGGTGTCGTGTCAAAGAGGACGCGATCAGTGTCGGTCAGCTCCTCTGGCTCAGCACACAAAAGATCCTGATGTGCGGCCAACAACGGAGCACTCAACACGATCTGTTCGTCGTCCCCCCGGACGTCTGGCGGTTCCTCGCGCTCAGTATCAGCACAGACGTGCATGTCCTTCAGTGGCGGGACCGTTATCCTGGAATCCGGCTTGGCCAGATGGAAGTGTTCGAAGAAGACCACCTCTCGGCGGTTGGCAACCAACTCTGAGCGCAAGTCCGTCACCGCCCGATCGAAGACCGTAGCAGTGACAAGCGACTTGTACCAGGTGACAACCGCAGCCACATTGTCAGCCGTGAAGTTCGTGTGAAACTTGTCTGGTCTGTCAGTGGCGCCCAACACTGGGTTGGGGTCCACCAGCCTCACACCTGCTTCGGCCAACACTTTCGTGTGGCGAGTCATCTCCTCGTCGTACTCTTCCGGCAGGCCGTACATAAAGCCATTCCCAGGGCCTGCGATCATCGTCACAGAATTCACCCCTGGCCGGTCCTTTAGGGCGGCGATCTTGACGACATCTTCCTGAACCTTCTTGAGCTGCTTGATCGGCCATTCGAAGGCTTTGCGAGCCATCTCGGCCGTCTCTTTCACCCACGGCGACTGGTGGTGCCAGGTAAAGGCCTTGTAGCCCCACTTGCCGTAGACGTCATTGCCAGTCCACGAAATGAAAATGTCAAACCCTTCCGGGTGACGAGGCTCATGCTTCTTGATGAGAGCAATGATCCGGTCGTGGATGTGACCAAGACCCTGCCCCCACAGCATTGATACCTCCGAGCCGGAGTTCCTGGGCTCGCTTCGCAGTGCTTGGCGCAGCTCATCATTAAACGTCCTTTTGGTCAGGACTCGGGCTCCTTGGAATTGCACAAAGGCCAAGGAGCTGTCACCAACCACAATGGCGAATGATTTCTCATCCGCCGGCGGTGCGATTCGCTGGAGCGAGGGCGTGAAGAGCCCG